TGCAGTGGCGTGATGAATCTCTGATGATGCCGCACACACAAAGAAAGACAGCCACGCTGGTCCATGATGCTATTAGTTGAACTGTGTTGACTGGTCTGAACAACCAAAGGCGCACAATTGAGAATTGCATATGTGTATGAGCAGTTGACACAATAAAGGATGGAGAGAACTCATGGCAGTGAGACCTGCTACTCTGTCATCTTTGCTTGAAAACTGAAACTGAAACATTCTTTGCAGGTGAATCTGATCATTTCAAATCTAAATGTGAATTTCACATTGAAGCTAAAATAAACATGCTAGAAAGAACAATGCCTGCACCACATGAGTGCATAACAATGGAGCTGGTGTTGGGTCCGGCCACTTCAACACAACTGAAGCCACAGGCTGAGCTGAATGACAGGCAGCTCAGTTTAAGTTGAGTGACAGAAGTGAGGCAAGAGTGTGGGCAAGCAGCAAGTTCTCATTTAGAAGGCACAAACAAAAAGCTCGAAACAAAGCTCTGTGTATGCGAGGGGAATCCTGGAGATGGAAGCAACATGTCACCACACGATAGTGCGGTTGCTGCATCTCGCCCAAACTGACGTGCCTGAGCATCGACCAAAATTAAGTCCTTAGCCCGACTACACAGGGGAGCATTGTTGTTTCATCTAATAGGTGGCATCTGTTACAGTGTGGAGTCTTTGTTGATGTCACTCAAACATGTAAATACAATGTGTGCATGCAGGTAGGGACATGCATGTGAAAAACTGCACCACACACACACACACACACACATCTGTTCCACAAACCCCCATAAAGCTCCATCACACTCATTGAGCAGATGTCTGGAAATTCCCTGTTCAGTCATGACATCAGGTTGTCTGCACCAGCATACAGGGAGGTTATGAGCGGTTTTCAAGGATGCTGATCTGACATTAGTGGGGATGACTAACCTCACGACTCGCAGTAATAAAAAGTGGGCAGAATCTGATGTGACTCCCTAAACCGCCACTCTACAGATGTGATAAGATATGCTCTCGCAGACATTCTCTGGCTTATAAGAAGTCTAAACCTCAGATAAATGATGCACTTGGTGGAAAAAAAATCTCTCAAGGGTAAATATTTAACTACAGAAAGTCCCAGATGTTTTTAGGCACTCAATGTTTTGCACACAAACCAGCTGATTATGCCAAGTGGAGGGAATGTTTGCAACATAAAGAGGATTACTATGAATGGAGATAAGAGGCTGATCCTCCACTGTAAACATCTCTCACTAAACCTCCATCACGCTCCATCACAGGTTTAAACCTTAGAACTGGTCTTATCCTTCACTTCCGTAAAGGTTCCTTTAGTGGTTTTAATGGCGGTTCATGAAAGTAACATTTATTTCACTGATTGTAGATTTTACTTCTAATATTCTTAGTTTATATACATTATCTTAATTTTTGATTTTTTGGCAAAGGGCACTCTGTGAAATCTGGGTTTCCAAAATAGAAGGAACTTTTTCACAAAATTCAACAAAACACGGTTGTGAATGTTCTGTGTTTCCATTGAGTGATGTTATGTGAATAAAGCTGGTTTTCTCCGCTTGTGATATCATTCCAATTAAACCTGATGACACATTTCCAGCAGTCTGCCTCTCAGTTGGAACTAGCTCTCTGGGGTCTGATACGGCAGGAGCCACGACTTACATTGGAAGTGTTTCCATTTCAATTAGCTAAATATTGCTTTGTTGAATAGTCTGGAAAACCACCTCATGTGAGCATATACATTTTTTTGTGACACCATTCCATTACATGTTTTTAAATTAGCAATTTCAAATTGCGCATTAAGCAAATTAATGGAAACACACCTACTGTTACTCACATGTTTACTTCCACCTACGACTCAGATTTGTTTATACAGTTGGGTAGTTTAGTTCAGTGGTTACCTAGGGGTCAACCAACCCAGCCAACCCAGGGCTCAGGCCCTTCTAAAGGAGCACAACATAAAAAACCTTAACCCAAGAAGGGAACATCTTGGAAGGTAGCATTGTTATATAGACAATCTGGGCAAACCCACCTGAGACAATCTGCCTCCAGTCTGACCTAATTTATGAATAGCACCTGGGGTACCCAAAGTACATCAAAAACATTTGAACCTTATTCAGCAGGAGCAAAGTAGAGGTTTCTTCCCAGGTGCATGAAGAAATGACCCTGATGAATGCCACAAGCCGAACATGTCATTGTTATAATAAAGTTCTTCTGTATACTGCAGGTGTTGCTGGAGTTTTGACCTCTTATTCAACAGGTAATACTGAATGTGGGTAGGGGTGAGCAGACATGTGCCTGCCCTGACCAAACGTACACAAATATTTTTTAGTATGGAAATGGTAGGCCACGTTGAATGTTTTGTATGTATATGTCAACACCAATGTTAAATCATTTTTGAATTAATGTTTTGCAATGTGGGTTTATTAATGAACATGACACATTTGAGTTTTCTCAACTTAAATGTTTCACTTGAATGATAAAGAATAATAATAGATTGAATAGAATAAAAATATAAAATCCAGTCACTGTAGCTCAAAATGCTACAGTGACTGTAGTTGAATAGTTGGGCAACAAGTTGATTTTACTGCAGAGTTTAAGTACAAATAATTAGGCTTTTAAAGGAGCGATAAGTTTTGCTACATAGCTAATGTTAGCATTAACAGCTGTTTACTTACCAGTCTGGAAGAAACGTTGTGAGTTCAGCATCAAACTTCATTCCTTTACTCACCAACAGCTGTCTCCAGAGGTAGAAAGAAACACCAATGTTAACTCTTGTTTTGCTTCTATTTCTATCATGTCTTTTCTTCTACTGAAGTTAGCATGCTAACCAGCTAGCCCCATCCCAGTTGGACTGTCTCATCACTTTCTCATAGCAACTCACTGTAGTCTCCAGTCTGCCTTGCTCAGAAGACGTATTATAACCTTTTGTCTTGTAAACACAGCGACGAAACTCTTGGCAACACTTGTTAGTAAACAGCTGTTAAACACAGGCTATGTAGCAATAGCAAAATTTACAAAAAGCTCCTTTAAATTAAAGCTCCCATATAGTATAAAGGTAAATGTCCATGTGTTGTGTGATTATAGATCAGGTCTAGGTTCTATATTAATACTGTGAAAGTATCAAAGCGCTCAGTCCACAGAGAAATGCACACAGCCTGTATTCAGAAACTGAGCCTTAAAACCAGCTGTCAGAAATTCTGGAACTTTGTGATGTCACAACAAAGCAATCACCACTCTCAGCTATGCCCCAAGCCCCACCCACCTGTTCAGACAGGATTTGTTTTCTCTGAGTGTTTACCTGAAATCTGCTATATTTTTATTGGATCCTTCAGAAAACAGTCAGCCAATCAGAAGAGAGGTTCAGAGCCTCCTCTCTTCTGATTGGCTCACTGACCTGTTGTTACTAGAGCTCCAGAGAGAAGCCTGAGAGGGGAGATGTAAAACTACACTGAGATGGTTTTTGGTTCTTAAAACCACAAATATATCTTCTTATGGGTCAACACTTCAAATAAAACACAGGAGAAGAGAAAATATGGAGCTTTAAATTGTTACTCCCACTCTATTAGCATTCAAGTCAGTTTCACTCAAACAAATTAGTTTCTCCATTATCAAGTCAACAGTGTATGGGGTTTTATGTAAAATCTTAAAGTGAAACGTAACTCATAACTATAACTAAAATAAATGTAATGGAGTAAAAAGTACAATATTTTCCTCTGAAATTAAGTGTAATAAAATAATGAAGTGGCAGAAAATGGAAAAACCCAAGTAAAATCAAAGCCTCAAAGTAAGTACTGTGTAAATAGTTTCTTTCCACTACTCACAGAATATGCTGATAAACACATTCAGGTACACCAAACTAGCAAAGTGAACATAAATTATTCACTGCCAGACATGAGGTGAGGGTTTAATCCCCACACTCGTGCTGACAGGGTCTGAGTGCCTGTTAAAAAGATGCATCTGTCAACAACTAATCTAATTTAAGTCTATCAAAATTAAGCATCAAGGATTTTATAATGAATAACAATACTCGATATTGATGCAGTGGAAGGGCTGGTTGTTTTCTGCAGACACACAGAGGGATGTACAAAGAATAGTCTGTGTCGTGTTATTCAGTCACTCAGTGTCTGTTCGCCTTATCTCTGTCTCGCTCTTTAAGTAGCTATCTGCTGTTTTCTCTTTTTCCCCTGAGTCAGCAAACAAGCTCAGTTTTTAACCTCCACCACTTGCCAGACGACTTGCCTCTGCCTGCATAATCTGACTCTCAGTCATGCTGTTGACAGCTAAACCGGAAAGTAGGCATGCCATCCATCAAGCTGCACAAAGTTTCAAACACATGTACACATATGTCTGAACACATACAGTACAATGACATAACATGCATAATGCTTTAATGTTTTTTAACTATGATTTAATCAATGTTTTGATTAAAATTCCTTTCCTAATAAAGAAAGTACAGTACAAGCATACTCATCCACAAAAGAATTGCAGCTAAGGGACCACTGTCTCCCAGGGTTAATGGGGATTTCAGCTGTGAGATATTTCATGTTAATAAACCCGACCTGTTGTTAATTCGACCATCACAAGGTTTGGGCAAACGTATCTTTAATAACATGATAACTAAAGCTTATGTTGCAGAACAAAAGCATTTACAGTGACAGAACTTTGTTTGAATGCAGTCTGGTAGGAATCTGAGAAGTTTGAGTTTGTGATTGTGCATTTAAGTCCAACAAAACGTAGAGCACAACATCATTTAACTACTTAAGGTTTTAAGAAAAACAGGTCATAAACAGTGCAGCCGATTCTAGTTGGCTTTACTGACTGCAAACCACATTGAATTACTTCATTCACATGCAAACACACAGAGCATCTTCATCTTCTATTGTCCCTTAGCCCTCATTACTGTATCATCTCTGGCATAGCCCCAACCTCCACCCGCGTGCATAAAGTTTCCTCTAACCTTTGCGTTTGGGTTCGGGTACAGGGACTCACCTGTAGCTGCTTGGACTTGCTGACGGTCCTCCGGTCGTGTACCGGCAGGCACTGGACGCAGAGGAAAAGGTGCAAAGGCAAGATGCTGCCGCAAAACACGACAATCCGCATCATCTCGTCCCGGACTCCCAGACTCAGAGTTGGCAGAGCGGACAGAGGAAGAGCTGCGGACGGGGAGGAGGAGGAGGCTGTGTGGAGGAATGAATGACTGCAGGGGGATCCTATACCCAACCGGGTCCTCTTCCAGCGACACTTTTACGAGCTCCCAGCTCAACTACACTACACACGTGATTTAATTTAACCCCTTTCACTCCAAACAGCCACTAACGGAAATGAAAAGTTGCTGAATTCCTCATCCGAAGAAGACTGCACAGAAATACCTCGAGGTGAGGAACTGGAGGAGCTGCAGTTCAAGCGTTTAATTACTTCATAGAACAACTTCATGTTATTGGTTGTTGGTAACAGCTGTAAGTATATGATTTATGTAATTGTACGGTGTTCCTGTCAGTTAGTATTGTGACTCATTACAGGGCCTCAACTGTCTCAATTATCAAGATCCAACAATGGCAGAATGAGTCATTTAATTATTAAGTATAATGTGATCCATCATTAACTGTCATTATTCATTAACTTATTATCACACAATGCATTTGACAGCACTGCCTCTTTCTTCACTCAAGTGTCCACGACATCAACCGCAGATTTGATGATACAACTATAAAGTCGATCATCTAAGGTGTTCTGGTACCAGGTGCCCAAATGAACCACCTCATGCTTGAACATAGTGTTTTTTTATGGCCAATCCATGACTAGCACACAAGTCCAATAACAAAACGCCGCTCAGGTTCAGATCAGGCCTCCCACTCATGCTCCTCCAGGTTTCTCCATTGTTGGCCATGTGAGCATTGAAGTCCCCCAGTAGAAATATGGAATCCTCTCTGGTGAAAACCTTTCCAGGGCACCACCCAGAGACTGAGCTGCTGTTGAGCTGCTGGTCAATGCACACACAACAGCCAGTGTTCAGAAGGTCAGCCACTCACCAGTGGATTTCACAACAAGCCTGTCTTCGCATTATATCCACTCTTTGCGCCAATCACAAGTCTCCCCTCATCTGTTCATCTATCCAGCAATACAGCACGGCATCAGTAAAAGGGTATCTGGTCCTAATGGAGAAAACGGCACTCACCACGGCAGTTTCTGGACTATCTCGCAGCAGTATTCTGGACTTTTGTTCCATGTTTGTTTCCTTGTTTGCTCCTGTGCGTCCATGAGAACAAACCACACACCTTCATGTAGGAGTATCTTAACCTGCAATAAATGAGCAGCATGGTCATCAGAGTGAGTAATTAATCTGATTCAGAATCCATTCGTTCCTGTTCTTACTGGATAACCTGTGGAGAGAGCACATCTATAGAATCAATACCTAAGGATTCATTCACTCATCATCACTGAGGTCACACAGTTGGTACTCACTAAACCAACACCTCCTTTATAGCCAGTCTTCCCCTCAGTGACTTGAAGTCATATAGTGGTGACCCTCGCATTCTCCAGGGAGAACTCCAACAAGGCAGTGCTCCGCCGGGGGCTTGTGACTGTCCCCAAACCAGCCAGGCACCTATCATCCTGAGCAATAAAGGAACCTTTGCATACTGAAATTAATCATTTGTCATAACAAAAATTTCTATCTGCCATCTATGAGACACGAACTCCATAAGTCTATGGTTAGAATTGGGGTTGCTCCTTTATTCTCAATAGAATCAAAGTGAAAGTGAGTGTGAAGAAATAACTTTATAATGGTAACTTCACAGTCACATGAGCTGAAGTGCAGTAGCTGTTTTGGAAAACAAGTGTAATTTTGCTAATGTTCCTTTCATTAAATACAAATGAAGTTGCTTTGAAAAATGACTGAAAATGACTTCCGTTTATCTATAAAGATGATACATATCACAGCAGGATTACAATTGATAAAGAGGATGTGATCCAGTTTTATTTCATTCAACCACATTTGTTTTTATTAAATGGATGTTTGAAAATAGGTTGAAATCTCAGTTTTCTCCAGTTCAACTTTTCCACATTACATAAGTGAAACCAGAGAGCCATCTGCTGATCAAACTGAAGTCTCCCTGCAACAAACATCTGTGATGTTTGTGATGTCTGTGATTTTACTGTACAGGTTAACTACAGCTTGTGTCTCCTGTTCCGGTTATATGCAAAACAAGTTTAAAAAACCCGTTGCTCATCGGTCTTCATCATGTCTGCATGATGTCTGCATGATGTCTCTGTGAATAGCTTTATGTTTGTAGGGTTAGTAAAATTAGAGCAGCACCATCTGGAGGGCAACGCTGTGCAGGTTCCTTATGTGCGACTGTTAATGTTTATTGGCAAACTGGTTACTTTCTTTTAATTATAAAAAAAATGTTTTCAATTATGATAATTTAGTGGTTATATCTGTCAGAAAACAGATAGAACTACTGAAACTATGTATTTATCCTAACACATTGTACTAAATTACCAGTTAAACAGTTACGCATGTACAATCTGTCCAACACATTATGATACTTAAGTCTGGTCAGAGTCGCACGGGTCCAATTTTGTAAATCCTCACCCACAGAGCTTGGCTGAGGCAGCTCCCATTTGTTGTTGATCTACTACAAAGTGACGCAAAGATGCGGTAATCATGTGTTCACATATCCAAAATCAGTCAGCTCTGAAATGATGATGAATCGAGTGGTAAGAGGTTGTGTTATTCCCAATAAAAAAAATCTTGGCAGCTAATTAGACTCATTTTGTGCCTTCATTTTATCGATCACGTGTCTATTTAAACTGCCACCTGTGTGCGTTCAGTTCATTTTTATCCGTACCCATGAATTAATGCAAATATATTTTCTACCTGTTACACATAGCCTTGCAGGTATCTGACCCAGTGGAGGCCTCTGAGCTGTTGTGTTACTATTAGATTGTAGGCTGTAGCCCACTGAAAGGTGTTTCCAATATTTTTTCCACCACATAAATGATGGGAACATAATACTTGGAATAGATGATGAATTTGGACATGAGCTCTGTCTAGCTAGGTTTCCCAGGTAGCCAAAATGGTTTGGCTCTATAAAGGCCCAAATCCGGCAGGCCAGAAGAAATAACTCACCCCAAGCCTGACTCATTCAAACCTAGTTTGAATCAGCCCAAGTACCGGTCTGGGTCCGGCGGCTGATTGTGAACCGGCAGTGCCAGTATAGGGCTGCAGTCACCCCAGCAGAAATAATAGATCTAACCTACATGTATACTGGGCTAAGTCTGGTTGCCAAAACCTAATTCACACTGTCATCACTGGGCTAAAATCACCCCAACAACACTGTCAGCACTGGCCCATATGAACTGGCCCAATTACAGAGGCTGGCTTTGCCAGAATTGGCCCATATATAAGCCAGTTGCCAGCCTGCAAAAAGTAATGCCAGAGCTATCGCTACCCTAATATCTCTCTATGACTGACCTTGTACACTGCCAGAACCAGGAAATGTTTTATTAATAATACAAAACTACATATACTTTTAATATAAACAAGAAGGATCCTTCCCTTTACCAAAGCAATTGTTTGTTTGTTTGTTTGTTTGTCTTTGACACAGAGATAGGCTAACTGAGTGGAAGATTCTGAAATGTATCTCCTATAGACACTTGACAGTTTACACCGCTTGGTGGCTCTGTTTCTCTACTCTCTGACGTTATTTCTGTTCTGTTTCTAAAGCTGTGTGTTTTCGCATTTATGAAAGTGCCACATTTTTGCGCAATAAATAGCCGGAGCAGACGTTAATTGTAGAAATAGTAAAACAAAATGACGTGACAAGATTAAAGAAAGCAATAAAATAACAAATGTAATATACAAACAAACAAATACACATACAGTTCCATGGGCATGTTTACGATTTAGTGGATATTGTAGAAGAAACAGTTGCCATTATAGCAGCAGGGGGCGCTGTCGCATGTTCTCTGTACACCAAACGGCAGTGAAGAGAGCGTCAAGTTGGCTGGAGATTATGCTCCTTTAATGTTTACTTCGAAATAAAGGTCTACAAACAGCCACTGACATATTCAGAACATTTTCTAAATTGAGCTGTTGTCGGTATATACATAGAATATTGTTTTTGTAAAGCTTACGTGATTTGTTTTGGGCATTCTTTATTACTAGAAGACTGACTCCTCGGTAAAAGTTTTTATTTTGAAGGTCTGTACAGGATGTGGTTGACTTTGTTTAGAAAACTTGACGCCAGTGATCAAAGATGACAACGAAGGAGCGGTGAGGAGGAAGAAGAAAGGGAAGTTGCTAGCTGGCTAACAGTTTTACCAATCCTCCGGTTTTAGCGTTTCGATAATGGCGCCTTTAGACCTTGATAAGTACGTTGAAATAGCAAGACACTGCAAATACCTACCGGAAAATGATCTAAAGGTGAGTTTAAGCTGCTGGATTTAACCTAGGCCAATGTGCATTAATATCGGTTGGACCTAACGGCGTGACTATACGAAGTTTTTTCAACTAGCGTGGCTAGTAACTTATCTGCTAGTTATTACTCGGAGGTAGCAAAGGGTTACTGATTTTAAGCACATTTTTGCGACGTCGCCGATAATAGCGATCGTTAGCTAACCAACTAGAATGAAAATGTCAGGTTGGACAGGGAACTCAAAGAGGAAGCTGCAATGCTTAACCTAATGCTACAAGCTAACAGTTAGAGGTTTGTAATGGTGGGAACCACGGCGAAGCGAGCAGAAGCCTGTCATCAGCAGTCTGCATCAGGAGCTATACCCTTACTCACTACAGCTACTTACAGCATTATTACCATCAATGATAATACAGCAGTGTTTAGTGTTGAAACCAAACTCTAAATCTGTAATTCATCCTCCTTTCCAACCTCACCATGTCGGCTAACATCTCCTCTAATAGTCAGCAATGATGTATTGATTTTCTCTAATGCTTTACTGCGCAGTAAAGAACCAATATGAACTGCAGCTCAGTTTGATGGCTTCCTATTCCTCTAATTTTCTTTGTAAGGAAGTAAAGCACTGGGTTAGTGTAAACAGGTTTGCATTAGCTTTACCCTAACTAGCCCCTAACCCACTTTGTGAGTTTGCTAATTTAGCCCCTATTAAGAACTGTAATATGATATTCCTGTAACATAATGTGTAATGTGTGTGTGTGCATATAT